CACTCCCCCTCCTCAGCAGGACAGCTAATGACCGTGGAGGGCAGTCGGCATAAATCCCATAGTTTTAGCCTTGTGAAAGGAGCCTTTACTTCCTTGATGTCGTATCTCAAACTTCACCTTTACTCGTTTTACTCGCTGGGCGTGCTCGGTAGGCAGAGGAACCCTTTGCATGGCACCTCGTCGCTGACCTCTCCAACTCCCTGTTGTGTTTTTTTTCCCCTCATTTTCTTTCCAGGCTCTTTTCTTTCTTTTGCGTCGCTGTGTTAGGTTTGATTCTAGTTTACTTACTGGGTTGTTCCTCCTCTTGTGCCCTCGAGACAGTCGTGCTGTACAAATAAACAGCACATAACAAAAAGAAGTTTGGCTTCCAGGAGACCTTTCTGCTCCTGTTACTGTTTTGTCAGAGGTGCAGGTGTGCTGCTCCTGGCAGAAAGAGCTGCTTATGCCACCCTCCGCTTCTGTTGTGCCTTTTAAGTGAATCCCCCAAAGTGCTCTTCCATAAGTTAATCTCTACCTCGCTTTTTGTGAGGTGGGTAAACATAAAAACCAGTTTATGGAGGGAGTAGCTGAGAGCGTTGGGAACTGGGAGGGTGTTAAAGGAATTAGGTGGAGAGGTGGCTGTTTCAAGACACTGAATATATTGTTCAGTCTTGAGCGATTTGCCGAAGGACAAAGCGTGTGCCAGTAGCAGAGTCAGAAATAGCATCCAGGAGAGCTGCCTTTAGACTTCTCTTTTTTTCCTTGGACTTACTATTCCCTCTGTACACACATGTAAACAAAGCTCTGGTTTTACTGAACACCTGCCTGGGATTACAGCGGAGATCTTCACAGAAAAATATTCTTTTATTTGAAATAGAAATTCAGTGGTGATTTTTTTTTTAAATCCTGTAACATCTCTGAATACAAGATGCTAATGTTTATTCTTGGGGTTATCAGAGATGTTAGTTTCTATAGGTGAATATCCTAAGGTGTCCCTGATCCTCCTTTCTTCAGAATTCAGAGGCCAGTGACACCAAGATGAGTCAGTATAGCTGAATGATGCAGCCCTAATGTACAGTGCTGATTTTCTGATTGAGGTGAAGTTTGAAAGTTTCCCTTGGTCTCTGGTAAGGTAAAGTTTTCATTATAAATCTGCTTTCCATCTGTAGAGCAAGAAGCCAGATAATTGGCATCTGGTGGGATAATTTGCTGTGAAAATGAACACAGTAATTTAGGGCAGGCGTAGCTATTCCCTAAAATCTGTGAAATATTTGAGCTGAGTCTCTCCAGTGTGGGCAAAGTTTTTTTTAGGAGGTGCTGATACAGAGCACATTTTCTGTGGTTAGTTTGATGTACATGAAATAAACTGCAGATATATTGATAAATTATGTAGTAAAACTGTAGCAATGTGTTCAGTGTTCATTTTTTCCAGATCACTTGAGTTCTAATTTTTTTTATCGTTTTTCATTCCAGATTACCATCATGAGATATATAAGATCTCTGACTACAGCAATGATGTTAATGGGGAGACCAAAGAAACACAACCAGTTTTTTTAGGTATGTGCTTGTGTTGATTAATTTCCGAGCAACATAGCGTGGCCATTTGCAATTAGGGAGGAAAAAAATCTCTGTGCAAGCACAGGAAGCGCCTGCCATTGTTTAATATGACGTTCTTTTCAAGACCCTTTTATTCTACGAATTGCCAATATATCCTTTATTAACACTGCTAAAAGTTGTAATTTCAGACATAAATGTTTATTAGTGTCTACACACAGTGCTAATTATCACTCACTCAGAGAGCCAGATGCTGACTCTGCAGTTTTGCAGCTCTGTGCTCACCCCATTTACATTGCATATTCGCTGGCATGCTTCACTGGCAATAGTTTGTGTAATTGGGGTATTACATCTTTGACATCTGGATAACAGAAATTCAATTTCCAGGAAGCTGCTATTTGTTTGGTTTTGCTTCTGCCTTGGGTGGGATAGAGGATTAATGTGCTGTCTTAATGTAATGTCCTTTCACCTCTGTAGCCTGCCTGCTAATCCTGCCATGGCAAAATTAAATTAAATCAACAGTTAAAAATGTGTAAAGAAAATGGAGAAGTAATATAGAGTCTGCGGCATGATAGATACTATAGCATGAGAGGACTGGTTATCAATGAACCTTTATCTTTCCTGTCTGTGTGCTTTTTGTCCTGTCTAACTCCTCAGCTGTAGAGTGCTGCTTCCTTTCCTGCTTCCAGCCCCCTCCTGTCGTAGCTGGGACCTCACCTGGGTACTGCAGCTCTTGGCAAAAATTTGGCAGGCCAAATTCAGAGGAGTAAGGGCTGGATTTTTGAGCTACAGTAATGACTCTTGCTGTATAAAGCAAGCTCTTGGACACCTTGCTCAGGCTTTGGAGAAAGCAGGTGCCTTTGCAGCAAGAAATTTGGAAGCATCTGCCTCTTCTTAACTGCACCAGGAGCCTAAACATTTTTGTAGGGTGATTTAAGGTTTCTGTAGTCTGTGCGTGTTGCCCCCTGGAGCCAGCAAGAGGAATTGGTTCCAAGTGTGTGAATCAGCCCCTGAAGTCAGTCTGTGCGCAGAATCATGCCTTTGTCTCCGTAGTTCCTAGTGCCCCATCCTCTTCTAGAGGTCACCAGCAAATGGGAGAGAAAAGGAGGACGTCTTGGGCAGTGTGGAATCTTCTGGTGGTTGGGATATTTACACGGTGGTGAGAGCTGTGTTAAATTCCCTTCTCAGCTTCTCGCCATTAGGATTTTGAGCCAATATTTCCTCACCTCACCCATTTCCAGGGAGAAGCAAAGGTGGCTGCTGTGCTTTGTGTTTGGATTTTGTGTTCTGTAAGCACTTTTGGTGAAGTCTGGTAAACCTGATGGAGTGAGCTCCACGGAGGTTTACTTTGAACGCTGTCTCTTCCAACCCTAAATCATGATAAAGCTTTGGCAGGGGTTAGGCATCTAGTTGCTTAAGCCAGGATGCTTCTAAGAATGTGCAGGAGTCTGTTCTTTGACATCTGTGCCATGAGTCAGACCACTTGATTTTGATATGGCTGTGTGGGTGTGTTTTGGGGGTTTTTTTGAGTATGCCCAGCTTTTCATTGTGACTGAATGTGCTCTGGCATTTGAGTGCCTAAAGTTCACCTATTTCAAGAGCCGGTCAGAATTTAACCTTTAAGAATGTGAGTCTTGTTAAGGATCTTCTTTATCAGGTACTGAAGCACAGAGTTGCAGTCCTGGGAGCCCACCTTCAATTGCTATGAGAAGAAAAAGGTGCTATTTCCTGGTGATGTCTTGAGTGTCCCACTTTCAGATTTCCTCAAAGCATGTTGGTTTTGACAAGGCTGAATGACGTATGACCATGCAAGATTTGTAGACGAGGCTTTCCCCCTCCCCCCCCACCTTGGGGGTTGGGTTCAATTCTGTAAGTTACTCAGAGCTCACACAACCTTCTCCACTTTATTTTCAATAGCTTACTTTGGTGTCCACTTCTGTCCAGATTCCTAGTGCAAAGGCATTGATCTGAGATGTAAACTGAACTCAACTGAAAGCACTCAAAATCTGAGCTCCCACCATCAGCAGGGATCTGGGATGAGTGGCATTTGGCATTCCAGCTTTCCTTTAAAAAAAAAAATCACATTGCATGGAGTAATTTTCCATTATGCTTCAGGGATGGTGGGATCACAACACTTTCCGCAGCTTGATGTCCTGTCCACTAATAAGGAGTCTCAGGGTATAATTGCTGCTTGACTTGATTTCACTGTTTTATGCCAAAACTCATCCCAGAAGGATGTTCACTCCAACTTGTTCGTTTAGAGTCAAGTTTGTTCTCCAATTTAGGTGTTTTAACTAATCCATGGGATCAGCTGTTGAAACCTCAATGTGAGGCAGCCTTTAGTATGTGAATGGATGCTAAGATACATCACTGAAACTATTACCTTTAGAAAAGGTGAAATGTTAATGCCATTTTATGAACGAGTAAAGCTTTATCTGGAATAGGATGTGCGTATGTTTTGGTTGCACAGTTGAGAACAATGAACTCAAACTGAAGAGATGCACTGTTGAGAAGAGGGGAGCTTCTAGGGTAAATGAGTAAATCAGAAGAATGCAATTTGTTTAATAGGCAAATGAATTAAGGATCAAATGTCCGGAAAGACCTGTTGAACCTAGATGGTCTTTTTTGCACCAGCACAGATGGGTGAAACGTGGCTTTGTGCAAATGTAGACTGCAAATTGGAGGAAGCTTTAGCGCAATTAGAGGAACATGGTACTGGACATGACCTCTGATGGTTGCGATGGTATAAAGCCCAACTGCTTTGTGAATGGATCTTGGTAAGCTTAGAAAGGTTGCTTATGTGATTCAGTGGAAGAGTTTGCAAAATTCGAGGGCAGATACCAGTACTGAATTTTGCAGGTGAGGACTGGCATCTCTTTTGTTTTGAAGGAAAGGGCTTTGTTAGCTGGTACCAGGAGAGACTGCTCAACCTGAAAAGGAGGAGGCAGCCTGAAGTGAAGTGCTTAAACCTTGAATATGGACAAGATTTAAGACAGACGTGACTTCAGCTTTTACCAGTTATCAGCATAAACCTTTCTGTCCCAGGGCTTCTAGCCCAGACTTGGACAAGCCCATGAGGGGACAGTACAACCGTATCTTGTGTACAACGCTGGTTAAACCTAGCTTGTCTATGAAAAAATATCATTTGCATGCACCACATTGGGGTTTTTTTTCCAGTCTTAATATTTTATTATGATCACAAAAAAAGCAGAAATACAATATACCTCCAGACTGAGTGTTTTTACAGTGCTTTCAACTTGAAATTCAGGCTCTATGTTTGAAAGGTTAATGTAGAAAACTAATTATATTATCCTGGTAACCAAATGTGTGATGAGACATTTGTCTGTGTAATTAACAGTGAAGAACTTTTATAGTTTCATAAAATCGAATGCTATGCACAGTGTGCTTGGAGCATTTGTTTTGAAGAGTTGTCCAAAACAGAGATGTTTATGACTGATATAAAGTGGAACTGAAATGTACTGTAATGCAGGTGTCTGTGCTTTTTACAGCATTTCGCATTGTTGAAATGGAAGGCAGCAGATTAATAACTTCGCTATGTCATGGCAAAAATAAATAATGTATTCTTGGAGCAGGGGAGCAATGCATAAGTTACTAATTTCAAGAATTTATTCTGTCCCAGAAATAATATGCTTTGCAATTTATTCACAGAGAAAAAGTTGACTTAACACAAGACTGTGAAGTTACTTGTTACTTTTAACAGAATTATATTGATTGTTGCAATAGTAGCTTCTGAAATTAAGACCGCATAAAAGTTTATTTTATATATCTATGTTCTCCAATGATCTAACTTCATAAAGCATTTCCCTTTGGGGCTGAAGCATGCTTCATATTTCCAGAAACTGGGGGAAGTTGTTGCATATCCATTACTATTTTTTTAATAATATGACCCTGTTAATATATACAGTTATTGATCAGTTGTTCACTTGTCCTTTCCTGAGTGATTTAACTGTTTCATTGTGCCATGAAAGTGTGTAACTTATGCTTCTGTATCTGCTCCTTGTTGGGTGTTTTGAAGCTGTTCCACCAAGCTCTTCAGAAGAGTTATTTGGTGGTGGTGGTGACTGGGCCACCTAGGCTGATCCAGCTTCCAGAGAAACAATCCTCCAAATCCTGAATGGTCCCAGGGTCTGATCCTGGTTTTGATTCTCCGAATTGCTTTGTTTACGTTAGTGTTTGTGATGCTTATTAACTTTCTGTGTCTCGTCGTAGGCAGGGGTGTCAATCAACCCGTGTACTTCCATGCTTGCTTTGGTAGTAGGGGGTCTAATTTGAGGGTGTTCCAGTTTTCCTGCAGGTATAATCTTAGTGCTTTGTGTGGTGACATGAAGATAGGTAAGTGCTTTTAAATGACATTTTAGAGCACTGCTAAGATGCCTCAACTAAGACAGTTTAAATGTCCCTATATGTTAGCTTAGGGTAGTCAAACTCCCCAGCTCATAACTCATGTTGCTTGCGTGACCCGCTGACATTGTTTGTGACCACTGCTCTCCCTGCTGACTTGGGGTTTAGGTTTTTAATTTGCAAAGCGTGTTGTTGCCTGTGTTACTTGTTCAGTATAGGTTCTTGTATGCCAGCAAAGACTGGGGAATCGCTTATGTGAGAAAAGCTTGCTTACCCCATCAATTTAGCTACACAGATACCTGATTCAGATTATCCACAGAGCAGTCACGACAGCTTTCCCTGTGATTCAGGAAACCTTTGATCCGATAAGGAATCATGCACGTTGCTCCTCTATTTTCCCCATGCTGACCTTCACAATTTTCTATTTCAGGACCACTTGTGGTACAAGGTGACAGTGGCAAAAATATCTTGAGTTTTGAAAGTTAACGGTTTGATGTGGATATAGTTTTTGCTGAGAAGGGATGCTTAGCTCCCTTCCAGGATAAAGGAAATACTTGAATACCATGTAGCATTGAAAAAGGTGTTTTGGTGAGTTCAGCCTGGCTGTGCACCGGAGACGTGTGCTGTGCGTGCATGTGCCTCCCGGTTCCTTGAGCTGCTCTGAATTCACCCTTACAAAATCTTCAGACACGGCAGCCGAGTTTCGCTGGCCCTCTTCCAGGAAGGGCAGCATTCAAGTGGTGTCTAATAAACTGGCATTTAATATGTTTGATTATGTAACCCGTTGCAATTATTTATTATTTTTTATTGAGCTTGCAAGCCGTATGCATCAACTTCCACTTTTTCTCACCTCTGAAGACTTGTTTCCTTACAAACCAGGCTAATGTTGTCAGCTCACATGTGCTTGTCTAGCTTTCTGTCACTGCTGTTCCTATCCTCCCGATAGCTTCTGAACAAATCCACCAATTTCCACCTCATTTGACACAAAGGTGGAAATCTGTGAGATACAGAGTACCTTCAGTGGGCAGCCTGATGGAGGAAAAAGCCCTATTTGTGTAGCCAAGAAAGGAAAGGTTTCTGTAAGAGTTTCATCTGCCAAAACGCAACACAACATAAAATTAGATGCTAGTTCATAGAGAGTCAAACTGTATTAAAAAAAGTCACTACTCATGAATTTTTTCCAAAACACATGAGAAACATAAATTTTAAAAATAAAGAAATTAATTGCTAAGTATTGGGCCAAGAGAACATTATGGTTATTTGTTTATATAAGTCAACGCAAGAAAACAGTAAAAACAGATGATTGTCCAATGTTTATTCACTCATTTATACACTTTAAAGCACATCCATTAATTACAGTTTTGGTTGCCACTTCTTTAATACTAGAATAAAATTAATATCTTAACATATGGGTATGGTTGCATATAATTTTATCATTCTTTGTAGCAGTATGATAATATTTGACAAATTATTCAGAAAAGTGTAATAACTTGTTTGTAGGCAGTGTGCTGTATTTATACTAAGGTTAATAAGCATAATAGTGAAACGATGGTCGGGCATGTAAGGGCAGAGAATGGAATTAATGAATTATCGATAATTGTTAACTGCAGTTGTTTACAGGTCTGTTGCTTCAGATGGGTGCACACTTACAATGTGGATGCTACTTCATCCTAGGACAGTTCTAGTTTACATTTGTGCATTTGTAATTTGTAACATTTTTACAACTTTGAAAGCAGGAAGTTTTTATACTGTGTATACTTTCAGTAAGGAAAGAGATTGAAATGAATTTTGGGGAAATTACTTTTTATGAATATATGAGTATTTATGAAAGGGCTTTGTTTTGCCTTTTTTGTTTTATAAGATTACAGTCAGGCCATGTGGAAAAAATGGGTTGTATATAATGGGCCATCATAGAAACAGTAATTTTAAAAAATTGTTAATACATTTTTGTTACGACTATTATCATCTTTACATATAAGTTCCTAAGTAGGGCTGTAATTTGCCATGCTTATCTATTTTGAGTAGTGTTTTGTAAGTATTTTAGTGTTTCGCAAGTAAATTCATTGGTTTCAGGTAAAACCAAAGGGATTACATGGGGAATCCAAACAGCAAAACCTGTAGCCTGCCGGTCGGGGGCATCCCCACCTCCTCGGGAGAGGCAGGGACTCCTGGTACTTGTACAGGGATACAGGGAGAGGCTGAAATACGCACCACTCCTCTCAGGCCTCAACATCTATTTCAGGAGGCTTTTCACAGATGGGTAACGTAGATTTTTATGTAAAAAACTGGATTTTTTTGGTGCTGGATATCCCATTCAGCATTTAAAAAGGAAGTCTGGCTCTTCCGTAGGACATAGTAGCTTGAGCTGTTTGGTTTTCTCTCTGTGCCCCATCTTCCTTTTTTTTTTTTTTTTTTTTTTTTTTCATTT